ACGAAGCAGAAGCTGTTAACTATTTAAGACCTAGCCCCAGAAGCCATGCAGTGTTACTTCCACCACATTCTGTAGAATCAGTCACAAACTCCCACATAGATTCCAGAGGGAATATATAGATTCCATCACCGAGTGGGAGCAGTGTCAAAGTCACACTGAGAAAAGAGCAGGTGGAATGAAAGATACTGCTGCAATCATTTAGGAAAATACAATGTGCCACAAGTGGTCAAAACAGTTTTGGAGAAAATGAACAAAGTTTGGGGTGCCTGGGTGGCCCAGTCTGTTAAGCCTCTGACTCTTGGTTTCAGCACAGGTCATGCATGGTCTCAGGGTTGTGAGGTTGAGCCCCGTGTGGGAGTCCACACTTACTGAGGAGTTGGCTTGGGATTCTTTCCCCATCTGCCCCTCCCCACGTACTCCTTTCCCCCCTTCCCACCTGCTCGCTGCAGCGTGCTTTCTCTCTCTCAAATAAATAAATAAATCTTTAACAACAACAACAGAAAAGAACAAAGTTCAAGGAATTTCAAGACTTCTTACAAAGCTACAGTGGAATACAGCTACCTAACGTCGACTTATAAAGCAACCATATCTGACAGTGTAGAACTGACACACATATATGAATGGAGGAGAATACAGAGTCCACAAGTAGATGTACACAGTCATTTGATTTTCAATAACATGGCACCAAGGCAATGTAATAGGGAAAGAGTGTTTTCAACAAATTGTGTTAGAACTACTAGGTATCTGTACTAAAAATAATGCAATCCCTACCTTACATCATACACAAAATATAATTCAACATGGATCATAGATCCCAATTTAGCAGAACCAAAATATGAATGTTTGAGGAAGTAGGTATTCTATGGGTTCACAAGTAGTTACATGAAAATTATTTTTCTAATGTAACATTAGACACCAGTACAAAAGAACATTAAAACATTACTGCTGTGTTGAAGAAGAAATTCTCTCCCTGGGTTAAAGAATATCGCTGAAAACAAGAATGGAAAAAAAAAAAAACCTACCAAGAATGAGTTTTGAGGTTTGTGGGTTTTTTTTTTTTTTTTAAGATTTATTTATTTTAGAGAGGGGCAGGCGAGGGGCAGAGGAAGAGGGAGCGGGAAAGAATCTCTGGCAGACTCCCCGCTGAGCACAGGGATGGACGCACTGCCGGCTGGATTTCAGGGCTCATTTCACCTGAGATCACTGACTTGTGCTGAAATCAGGAGTTTGACACTTAACCCACAGCGCCATCCAGGCGCCCCTGAGTTTTGTTTTAATGTAATTTTACCAAGCCCCTCAGCTCAATAGGAGGCTCCAGTCAAAAGGGGGATCAATTCAGAGACGTTTAGTTCATCCAACTTCTTTCAGTTATTCAACAAACACTGTTAACCAGTATGTAGACAAAAGTCATTTAGCCTTGTTTATGGGTTCAGGAAATCAATTATCACAGTATTATGTGTTCATCACCATGATAAAGATTGAAATTCATGATGCCAACCTCAAAATTTCTCACAACCATTCCCTAGAAGCAAATATCTAATCAACCTATATATTTTAAGTGAATGAAAGCAAATGTACTCTGCAAGAAAATAATTACATTGTGCATTCCAACCCCTTAGTCACTTAAATTCGGTGGGGTGCTGGTCAATGATTAACAACCGGCTGGGGGTGATCTCTAGTGTACATCAATTTCCAGATGTATTCACTCCCTGCGAGTGTGACATCATGGAACTGTGACATCACTGAACGCAGGGTTGGAAAAAGATGCACAGTAGCATACCACACTGTTATTTCCATCATACGGACAGCACAGATATAAATAATATCAAGAGCATAGATGACAGCATACCATAGCAGACAATTAAGAAGTGATGAATTCTGAATATCTTCACTGCCTTTATTTTTAACATAATTTAAGTGATTTTAGGTTTATATAATTGGGTTTTCGATGATGGCTGTGTTTAGCAATGGGATCTTGTGAACCAATCCTGAATTGAATAGAACCTGAAGCAAGGTAATTAGTAGGCAAAGAAACATGATTTAAAGTCATGCTCCTCTGTGTATTTTATTATAGGGCATCTTCTTTGACTACGCGGACTGAATAAAAAAACTATTTCAAAGTACAATTCCATGTGTACTACTCTTTCAAAACCATCAACAGTATAAGAGAAGGCTCCTTTGCACACAGAAGAGGCTTTGCCAGGTGTTTGAGATGAACGTGCAAAGGGTCAAAAGAAGTCGCCTTAGTCTGAAAGTGCCAGAGCGCTTCCGAGAACCAGGACAGAATGTCTCCGGGTTGAGGCCGTTCGGGGCGGCGCCGGAAGGCCGACTGAGCCCAACCAGAGACAACACCCCGGGGCAGTTCGGTCCCAGTCTGGCGCCTGACCTTGGCCGGACCCTGGGAGCGGCTGGGTCAGGGGCGAGACTGGCACGCCCTCCCCGCCCGTGCACTGCCAGAACTCCCGGGGGAACTCTGCTGGGACCCGCAGGCGCGGAGCCCTTCCCCTTCCGGAGCTCAGAAAGGCGGCTCCCCGTGGCGCCGGCGCTGCGCGCGCCCTTCCTTACCTTGACTGGATGCGGCCATTTCGGCGAGTTCGTCTCGCGATGACACCCGCAGGGTTTTGGCGCGGTAGGACGCGGAGTGGCGCGCCGTCGCCGCCGCAAGCTGGCTTCCGGCACGTGGGGCAGATGTTTCCATTCCCACGGCGGCAGCGGAAGAGAGCAGGCCGGGAGCCTAACAGTCACTTCCCACCCCCGCGCGTAGCTGCGTCACAAGGCTCCCCGGCCCCGCCCAGCGGGTGCGCCGAGACGCGCGTGCGCAGAGAGCCTGCTCTGACGGAGGTTCTCACCTGGAAGATTTCTTGAGACGCGACCGCCACCTTGCCGTTCCCCAGTAAGGACTCTTTTACCCATTACTTTATTTAAAAATAAAGCTGGCTTGCGGTGTTAGTTCATGTAAACGTTGAGCACGTATTTATCAGTGCTTGCTATGTGCCCGACTTTGTTCCAATAAAGTGAGACACTTAAAAAACCATTGCAATAAGTAAGAATGCCTATGGAGCCATTTAACTATGTTTCAGGGCACGTCTCCCCACTCCACCCCCCCCCCCCCCCTACTCCTCCCGCTCTCACCCTATCCCAGTTAATGGCAAGTTCACCATTCCAAAAACTTTGGTCTTATTTTTGAACGCCTCTCTCAATGCTACAAATCCAGTTCATCAGCAAGCCCCATAGATACCGCTTCACAGTGAATCGAGCCATTTCTCACCCTCCCAGTGCTATCATCTTAGCCCAACTCACAATCATTTCTTGCCCAAAGTTAACAGGTCGACCTGTTCCTAGTTCTTACCCTTATCCGCCTAAAGTCTGTTCTCTCCACCTCGGCCAGAAAGATTGGTCTAAAAGGTAATTCTAATCACAGCCCTCCTCTACTCAGAAGCCTACCATGTCTCCCTATTGTCCTCAGTGGAGAAGCCAAACTCCTTTTGCTGAACTGTAACCTACTTGGTGAGATTTTCCATGACCATCCTCCTTTAAAATTGCAGCCTGGTATATCCCGCCTTCCCCTGCTTACTTTCCTTTTGTGCACAGCACTTATTTCACCTTATAACATACTGTATGAGGTACTTATGTGTGATAAGTATTAATTACATCAGTTGCTTGTATTTTTCAATGCCGTGTACCCAGTGCATGGAAGTATAGCATAGGAGTTTGGAGCGTGAAGTATGGAGTCGGATTACATGGGTTGGAATGCCACCACTTGCAAACTGTGTGACCTTGGCCAAGTTGCCTAACCTCTCTGTGCTTCAGTTTCATCACCTGTAAAATGAAGACAAGAATAGCAGCTGCATTAAAGTAACTTACAACAATTCCTGGCATATAGTACATGCCAGCTATTATTTCTGCATTGTGGTGCGTGACAGAGAGAAGGTCTCAGCAAATGTTTATGAAAGGGACTTCTTCCTGCTTGTTTCCAAGCTGGACAACACCTCACCAATTGCTCCCAGGCACATTCATATTTCTGCAGAACTGGACTCTTAGTGATGATAACATTTTTTATAGCAACCCTGGTCAAGTTTCTTCTTATTATCTCCTATACTTTGAGGCCCTCATTTCCCCTGATAAACATTAACCTGAGTAGGGGCTCTGCTTGAGCTCAGCAGGGCTACATATTGATGTAAGGAGATCTATCCTATACCTGGGACAAACACAAACAACCTTAAGCCTCAGGTAACAACAATGCAATATAAATAAATACACGGATGCTGAATGGTTATGAGTGCTGCATAGAAAAATGAAGCCAGGAGGGATATCAGTAGTGCCAGTGGGGGTAGAGAGCTTACAATGTAAGCTCATTGCAAAGGCAGGATTTGAATCAAAACTTGAAGGAGATGTGAAAGTGGAAATGTGTGGCGATCTGGGGGAAAGATGTTTCAAGTAAAGGGGATAGCAAGTGCTAAGGTCTAAGTGCAAGAGTGTGCTTGGTTTTTAAGGAAGAGCAAGAAGGCCGGTAGCCATAGTGACGTGAGACCACAGAGGTCTGAAGGAAAAGGATGTGCAGATCATGGGAGATGCTCTAGGCCATGGTAAAGACTTAGGATTTTACTCTGAGGTCGGAAGCCAGTGGAGGGTTCTGAGTGAAGGAGTGACACGATCTACTTCATAGTTTTAAAAAGTCACTCGGTGTCTGTGTGAGGAGCAAGGGTAGAAACAGGGAGACTATTAGAATACTGGTTACTCTTGTTTGTGCAAGTGGATTCCAGAATTTCCAACATCCAGAGCTTCTTTTGCTGCTCCTCTTCACCTTGACCTCTCCCTCTCTCTCTTCCTTTCCTTAAAGGTTCTGATGAAAGCAGCATTCTTGTGCCCTTAGTACTCTCAAAAGTGAATGGGTTAAGATTTAGCTCCACCTCTCTTTTCCTGTGGCTGCTTTCCACCGCTAAAAAGGAAGCAGTCTTATCTGTTACCGCTTACTGCTAATGCTGCTGTAACATCCAGCAGGTAAAGTTCCCTAAAATTCACAGCAAAAATTTTGGGACTTTTCACTAAATCATAGAAAATTTACCTTTTTTTTTCCCTGGGAGCTGAAGATATTTTAGAGAAGAATTAATCTTTTGTTTCTCCAGTTGAACATTTTCTAGCAATACGAGCCATGCAAACAGAACTCTCTACCTGCTTCTTTCTGTGCCTTTTGCCATTCAGCTTTAGTGCCACCAGAAGATACTACCTGGGTGCTGTGGAACTGTCCTGGGACTATATGCAAAGTGAACTGCTCAGTGAGCTGCACGTGGACACAAGGTAAAGGCATGTTCTATAGGGTCCGGTCAGGATTGTGAGGATGTGACTGTTTGGAGGAAGGTGCAGACGTCAGGTTAGGATGGTTGTGATGGTAGTTAAGCACTGAAAAAGCACTATTGAGGTAAGGTATGCGTGCTCATTGCCAGTCCTTTTCACAGATCTGAACTATTTGTGGATATGTTGTTATGTTTTGTCCATATGTTGTTATGTTTTGTCCATTGCTTCTCTTTGTCACATGCTGCCACTTTGGAGAATGAAGAGGCAAGGAGCCTGAGAGAAAATAAAACTTCCCTCAGCCTACCTCCAAGCTTCCGTACAGAGAAACAGAACGAGATCCCATCAGTATTACACACAGCTTTAGTCTGTAGTTCTGTGTGGGTGTGGTGCAGTTTTGATACCTTTGCCCAGGTTTGGTTTAAGAATGGTATTAGCCATGAGTTCAGAAGCTTTTCATCTTTTTTGGATTCCAGTACATTTTGGGAGACTAGTATTAAATGATTTTTTCAATATTATCTATGATCATCGATTTATTTGGATTTTTCTGCCTCTTCTTCAGTCAAATTTGGTTATATATATTTTTCTAGAAAGCAATCTAGATTTTTCTGGATTTGAGAATGTATTGCTATCAAGTCACATACTAATCTTGTGATGTTGTTCAACTGTTCGGTGTCTGTAATTATATTTCCTTTTTCATTCTTATATTGTGTAAGTCCTCTTTCACTCTCTTAAAAATAATGTTTTCTGCATGGGGCACCTGGGTGGCTCAGTCGTTAAGCGTCTGCCTTCAGCTCAGGTCATGTTCCCAGGGTCCTGGGATCGAGCCCCACGTCAGGCTCCCTAATCAGTGGGAAGTCCGCTTCTCCCTCTCCCACTCCCCCTGCTTGTGTTCCCTCTCTTGCTGTGTCTCTCTCTGTCAAATAAATAAAATCTTTAAAAAAAAAAAAGTTTTTTGCATATCAAGGTTGTATGTGTATTTCCCAAATTTTCTTGCAAGATTTTTATTGTTTTGTTTTTTACATTTGTCATCAATTCATCTGATGATTATTTTTATATATGGTATAGAAGTGGGATCTGTGTAGTTTTGTTTCCATCTAGATCAATAGCCTATGGCAGTGGCACCATTTATCAAATAATACATCTTTTACTACTGATTTGGATAAACCCATTCATTATATAAAATTTTCATACATACTATTATGTATTTCTGGATGCATTATCCTTCTTCATTGAACTACTTTACTTTTGTCTTGCTATGCCAATACCATACTGATTGGATTACAGTGGGTCTATTATATTTTCTGATATCTGGTAAGTGAAATCAGTCCTCGCTGCTCTTTTTTTTTTTAACCCTTCTTAGCATTTTTTTTTAAGATTTTTATTTGTTCATTAGAGAGAGAGAACATGTGCACAGAAGCCAGGGAAGGGGGGAAGGCCGAGGGAGGGGGAGAAGCAGACTCCCTGCTGAGCAGGGAGTCCAGTGTGGGGCTCAATCCCAGGACCCTGGGATCATGACCTGAGCTGAAGGCAGATACTTAACTGACTGAGCCACCCAGGCACCCCTACCTTTCTTAGCATTTCTTAGGCATTTTATTCTTCCATATAAAAATTTTAAATGTTCTTCCAATTAAAAAGAGCCAAGTCCTATTGTGATTTTAATTGGCATTTTATGAAACTTTTATTAATATAATGTAAGCAATTTATTATATTTATCTCTATGCATTTTATAAATGTGTTGCCATTGTTAATAAAATGTTTTCTCTTATTTCTATTTCTTGATGTTTAGTACCAGAATAAAGAAAACTGTTTGTTTATATTCATGTTGAATCTAGTTACCTTACAGAATTCTGTTATTAATTCTAGTAATTTTACACTAGAGTCTCTATGAGTATTGAATCTTACCTAAAATGAGCAAAATGAGACAGATTATAGCTCTTTTCCAATGTTTATAACCTATTCTTTTTTATCTTATTGAATTTATTAGAAAATACAAGAAAATGTTAAATATTAGTGATGAAAGCAAGCATTCCTGTCTACTCCATGATTTTATACTTGAAATAGTCTTAATATTTTGTTATTCAGAACAATATTTGCTGTTTGTTTTTCATAAATAGTCTTTGTTACTTCTATTCCAATTTACCACAAATTTTTTTTAAAGATTTATTTTAGAGAGATAGAGTGAGCAAGCATGAGCCAGAGGAGGGGCAGAGGGAGAGAGAGAATCCTGAGACAGACTCCCTGCTGAGCATGGAGCCCAGCGTGGGGCTCGTGGGGCTCGATCCCATGACCCTGAGATCATGACCTGAGCAGAAATCAAGAGTTAGCCACTTAACTGACTGAGCCACCCAGGCACCCTGCCATAAAATTTTTTATTAGAAATGACTTTAACATCTCATATCATCTAAGTTTTATTTTTTAATATGTTGATTGACAAATGGATTATGTTTATAGATTTCCTGATATTGAATAAGCTCACATTCTTGGAGTACAATCTAATATTCCTATAATTTGATTATTGCTAATATTTCTTTGAACAATGAATATTTCTTTGAACAGTACCACACTTTGACAGCTCAGCTGGTAGAACAGAGGACTATAGAGGTAAACACTGTGTGCCTTTATTATGTAAGATTGATCTATAGCTTTATTTTTGACTATTACTAGATTTTGGTATTAAAATTTTACTGCTTTTATCAGATGAATTGATGAGTGCTCCATCTTTTTTTATAGCTCAAATAACATTAGAATTATCTATTGTTTAAAAGTTAGATAAGGGGAGCCTGGGTGGCTCAGTCGGTTGAACGACTGTCGCCTTTGGCTCAGGTCATGATCCCGGGGTCCTGGGATCGAGTCCCACGTTGGGCTCCCTGCTCAGCAGAGAGCCTGCTTCTCCCTCTCCCTCTGTCCCTCGTCCCCCTGCTCGTGCTCCCTCTCTCTCAAATAAATAAATATTAAAAAATAAATAAAAGGTAAGACTCATTTGTGAGTCTATTTGCTCCGGGTGACATTTGCAATATTTTTAATCATCTCTTCAGGTTCTTCTATGAAAATTAGTCAAATCAAGTTTCAACTTTTTTTGAAGTCAGCTTTAATTTTATATCTGTACAGTAATCACTTTATTTTTTCAATTCTGTTGCCACATTATCTAAATTATATGCCCTTTCTTTTTCTTAAATTACTATATCTTTGCTTTTTATCTTTTATCCACAAACAGGTTTGTAAGGGATTTGTCTATTTTGTTGTTGGTAATGTTCTTTTCAAACAATGAGCTTCTAAGTTTCTTTGTTTTTCCCAGTTATTTTTTTAAAGATTTATTTATTTGTTTGAGAGCACAAGCAGGAGGGGCAGAAGGAGAGGGAGAGAGAATCTGCAGCAGACTCCCTGCTGAGCATGGAGCCTGACGTGGGACTTGATCTCATGACCCAAGCTGAAACCAAGAATCAAATGCTCAACCAACTGCGCCACCCAGGCACCACCCACCCCAGTTATTTTTTAATATTTATTTTTAGATTTTATCTTTTTCAATGATCTCTTATTTTCTTTTGGCTTATTGTGCTGTATTTTTTCTAATACCTTAGGAAAAATGATGTTATTAAAAAAAAGGAAAAGTGGTATTATTTTTCCTTTTTCCTTTGTTTTTAATAGTGAAGGCATTTAAAGCTATACGTTTTTCTCTGAGAACGTTTGCGTATCACACAGGTTATGACATGAAGTTTTCTTTTCATTATTTACAGTAGTTTGTAATATCCTCTTAGATTTCATTTAGGATCATGATTTTTTTCTTTTTCTAAAGTTTCTATTTAAATTCCAGTTTGTTAACATACAGTGTGATGTTAGTTTCAGGTGTACAGTATAGTGATTCAACACTTCTATTCAACACCCGATGCTCATCACCGTAAGTGCCCTCCTTAATCCCCATCACCTATTTAATACATCCCCCCACATTCCGCTCCTCTGGTAACTATCAGTTTGTTCTGTGTAGTCAAGAGTCTGTTTCATGGTTTGTCTCTCTTCTTTTTTCTTTCCTTTGCTTGTTTAATTTCTTAAATCCCACATATGAGTGAAATCATATGGGTATTTGTCTTTCTCTGACTGACTGACTTCACTTAGTATTATATTCTCTAGCTCCATCCATGTCACTGCAAATGGCAAGATCTCATTCTTTTTGATGGCTCTGTAATATATGTGTGTGTGTGTGTGTGTGTGTGTGTGTATATATATATATATATATATATATATATATATATATACACCACATCTTTATCAGTCAATGACACTGGGCTGTTTCCATAATTTGGCTACTGTAGATAATGCTGCTATAAACATAAGGGTGCATGTATCCCTTTGAATTAGTATTTTTGTATTTGGGTACATACCTAGTAGTGCAATTGCTGGGTCATAGGGTAGTTCTATTTTTAACTTTTTGAGGAACCTCCATACTGTTTTCCACAGTGGCTGCACCAGTTTGCATTCCCACCAACAATTTACCCTTTTCCCACATCCTCACCAACACCTGTTTCTTGTGTTGTTGATTTTAACCGTTCTGACAGGTGTGAGGGGATATCTCAGTGTAGTTTTGATATGCATTTCCCTGATGATCTGTGATGTTGTGCATCTTTTCATGTGTCTGTTGGCCATCTGGATGCCTTCTTTGGAAAAATGTCTATTCAGGTATTTTGTCCATTTTTTAATTGAATGATTCATTTTTTTGGGTGTTGAGTTTTATAAGTTCTATCTAGTGGATACTAACCTTTTATCAGATATGTCATTTGCAAATATCTTGTCCCATGTTGTAGGTTGCCTTTTAGTTTTATTGTTTCCTTTGCTGTGCAGAAGCTTTTTATTTTGATGAAGTCCCAGTAGTTTATTTTTGCTTTTGTTTCCCTTGCCTCAGAAGACTTATCTAGTAAGAAGTTGCTACAGCCAGTGTCAAAGAGGTTACTGCCTGTGTTCTCCTCTAGGATATTGATGGTTTCAGGTCTCACATTTAGGTCTTTCATCCA